ATACTCTCGCTTTGTGTGCCGTACGTAAAATAGTGTTAGTGCATATGTGTGAATATTTTTCAATGAATGATATCCACTAACACTATTTCTTGTGTTATTCAACCAATTACTTAAAATCATGAATAATTGCAGTTCCCTGATATGTACATATATAATATGTGAAGAGATTTTTTGTCCAGGTTACCAGATCTGCACCATTCATTCGATTTTAAAAAAATGAGGTGTCAAATGAAAGAGCTCGGGCTATAGAAGTGCTCTAAGGTTTTAACTTTCCGAAAAGAGTTGCCACCTAGTAAAATATTTAATTCCAATTATTTAAGCAAATAAATTAATTAGTACAATATGGGTATCAATCTAAATAGTTTTGAAAAGGTTTTATTTTTTATTACATACAAGGGGGTTGCCACCTGTTTAAAAAAAGCAAATTCAATTTCAATTATGGAAATTGGATAAGTGAAATATTCATCACAGTATGGGTGTCGGGCGAGAGAGGTTTAAGGAGCTTTTAGTTTGGAAATATTCTAAGAAGGGTTGTCACCTAATTTAAAAATTTAAAGTAATTAAATTATGTAGAAAATACCTAAGTATGTGAAATATTAAAACATGGGTGTCAAGCAAAAGTGAGTTGAGAGCTTTGGGCATCCAGACTATTTATGTGGTTTTTAAAAAGGGTTGCCACCTGTTTTAAATGTTAAATTCAAATTAAATTCAATTAATAAAAGATGGATATCGGTCGAAATAATTTTCAAAAAATAACACTATATATACATGTTCAATATAATTATTAGTGCCGGAGAAAGGATTTCATATTTTACAACGCTTTTATCAACTTGCATTGTTGTATGTCCAGACCACCATACTATAAATATAGCAAAGGTATTTATGGCAAACCTAGTCTAGATATCAACCTCGCCGTAGGTATCACTACAAAGACATACAATTAGAAAAACTCTAGAGATAGATGTCGCCGCGCCAGAAGAAGTTAAAAATATGCACTACATACGCTACAGCGGAAATGGACGACACGCCATTTCTTTAAATGAAATTAATTGCTGCTATATGTATGTATAGTGTGACCACTTTTCCAAAAACTCATTTACGTACACAAAAGATAGTAGCAACACAAAGTTTTAAAGACAAATTTTGGAAACGATTTTATTTCTGTTTATTAGTCGATATCCAAACACATTTTTGACGTACAAACTTCAGCATATTTATTGCGAATTGAGAAATATTTAGGTTGGTGAACCAGGGATTGGCATTGGTTGAACGTCAACTGTTTCATACTCAATCAATACTGCTGCTTTATATGACTGAGCAGCGGCGTTGGCTTAGTAGTATCGATACCTAAACGAAATTAGAGGATGACTGAACACCAGCGCATAGCGAGCTGTCTTGCAAATACAGCCACCACAAGTGAACGATGCTTATAACAGCTCATACTGATATTGACTTCGGCAAACCTGTACTCCGAATGATCGTGCAGGAAACTAGCAAACGCGGCAATTGAACGGTTCCGAAAGCATGAGAGCTCATCATTTGTTGCAGAAGTCGTTTGAATTGTTGCTGAAAATCATCTGACTTGTTGCTGAAAGCCATTTGACTTGTTGCTGAAATCACGACGAATGTGATAAAGGGTAATTTATCGTCTCGTATGCATGTATGTATGTATTTATAGCGCGTCTACCATTCAATTGCTTTGCCCACTACTGGCTAGTTGTGAGGAATGTGCATACGTACGTATGTATGTATGTACATATCAATGCTTCATTTCAAACAAGCAAGTGTCGTTGAATTGTTTTTGAACTACATCACTTCGGCAACACGTCAAATGCGCCTTCAGCAACAAACCAAAGGCGGCGGTTTGAGTTCTGCAACAAATCAAGTTAGCTAACTGCGGCATCTTGCCTTCGCCAGTCTTTCACATAAGCTCTAATGCTTTCGGCAACCGTCCAAATGCAGTATCGTGCTTTTGGCAGTCGATCAAATACGGCGGTTGCTGGTTTCGTGCACGATCATTCAGAGTACAGGTTTGCCGAAGTCAATATCAGTATGAGCTGTTATAAGCATCGTTCACTTGTGGTGGCTGTATTTGCAAGACAGCACGCTTTGCGCTGGTGTTCGTTCATCCTCCGTTTTTAACGTGAGTAGGCTTAAAGTCACAAAAACAGCACCCTTTGCCAATGTCTGGTACATACATGCATTCAAAGCTGAAATAATGAAATTGCTGCTAAATTACAAAAGTGTCGGCCTATGTAATCAATTCATTGATCTTGAGTAGTTTTCCTGAACGCGTATTTTCCATCTGATGCAATTTCTTTCAGCATTTGAGGCTGCTTCTTTACGAATTCGAAAAATTCCGTACAGGTCATTTTAATGTTGTACCGAGCAAACAAAATATCTCGCAGTGTCTCGATTTTCAGTTGTGATTTCTCATCGCTCCAAATCTGATTGATCAAAGAAAATACGCGTTCAACGGCAGCTGATGTGCCTGGTAAGCTGAGAACATACGATACGATATGGTTGTACGGGACCTTCCTTTGGTCAAAATGTTGAAAGCATTCAACCCAGCGTTCATCGGTGTCAGTGTTATTTTCTTCCCACGATTGGATCTTCTCTGGGTAACGTATTTTTCCAAATATGTGAACTGATCGAATAAATCGGTGTCGGTGATTCTATGACTATTCTTTGCAATGCTCTTCGCGGTACTTTCGATAAACTCCCATTTTGGTGGTTGATCAAGTGCACACCAGGCGAATATCATAATATGGTCGAATTGTTCAATCCACTCTTCAATATATTCGATACATGATTCTAAGGAACAAATGAACAAAATCTTTAGAATCAAAATTAACATTCGAACCGTAGAATTGACGTGAGAGATCTTTTTAGTTTTTATTAGTCAAAATTTGCATGTGCGTCTGTATGTTGGGCGCTCCTATCGATTCAATTTACGTACATTTTCGTGATTTTGTGGTTAGCTTCGGTAGACGCTACATGGCTACAAATTTACGTACTGTACGTGTCATTTACGCACAGTTGGTCACACTATGTATGTATGAACATATGTAGGCATATACTAAATGTGAGCAAACAACAGTTTACTTGCATAGTCTTCTGTTCTCTTTTCACTGCAAGTTGAATTATTTTAGTAACTATTGCAAAATTTTATACAGACAAGACTAAAAAGTATAAAATAAATTTTAAAAAACTTTTTAATGTAAAACGCTTTTATAAATGGACTAAAATTAGAAAATAATATTTCTCAGTCCCATAGAAATTGTTTTGATAACTTTTAATTTTGAAATTTTAGCAAAAGTTATTATAAACAATTTATGAGATTGAAAACGAAAAGCGTGGGGGCGCATGTAATAGGCCTGATTGCAAATTGAAGAGTAATATATGTATGTATGTGGGTATATTAATAACGACCGCTTAAAATCGATCTCAAACTTGTACTTTCGCTGTTGAAATTTTAGGTCTATGTTATGTACATATGTAGTTTGAATATTGTCAATTATATCTAATGCTTTGTATTGCATGCGCTCCACGTTTTTACAACGCTTTTATCAACTTGCTATGTTGTATGTCCAGCCCGCTTTGAATGTTGTATGTCCAGACCACCATTTATACTAGTAGCTGCATTTTTTTGTAAGCGAGCGACAAAAGAACGCTCAACTCGAGTAAAATTTCCTTTTAGCTACTTAACCTACCCTGTTGGTAGCTGGCAAGAAAATGTGATTAGTTTAACGGGATTTAGATACAAAAACCAATTTAAATGAGTAATTATGAGAGGTATTTGCGTAATATATATACTCTTTTAAAATATAAGTCACGTATAAAATGAAGCAAAAATTTCCCTCTCCACTTTCCCATTAACAATTCACAATAGAGCAGTGTTTTCACTTACCAACACTACCCTTCAGGTCGCGTATTTTTTAACCGACCTGGCTGAGCTGCACCTACTATAAATGTAGCAAAGCTATTTATGGAAAATTCTATATATCAACCTAGTCTAGAAATCAACCTCATTGTAGGCATCATATCAAGGAGATACAATTCGAAGACTTTAGATGTCTCCCCGCCAGAAGAAGTTAAATATTGCGCCTAAATATATGCACTATTTATATACGTCACAGCGGAAATGGACGACACGCCATTTCTTTAAATGAAATAAACTTCTGCTTATGTATGTATGTACATATGTAGTATGTTTATACTAAATGTGAGCAAACAACATTTTGCTTCCATGGTCTTCTGCTCTCTTTCAATGCAAGTTGAATTATTTTAATATCTATTGGAAAATTTTGTACAGACAAGACTAAAAAGTAGAAAATAAATAAAATAAAATAAAACTTTTTAATATACAACGCTTTTATAAATGGACTAACAAGTAGAAAATAATATTACTCAGTCCCACAGAATTTGTTTTGATAAGTTTTGATTTTGAAATTTTTGTAAAAGTCATTATAAACAATTAATGACATTGAAAATAAAAAGCGTGGGGCGCATGTAATACACTTGAATTGATATGAAAAGTAACATATGTATGTATGTATGTGGGCATATGAATAACGACCGCTTAAAATCGAACTCAAATTTGTACTTTCGCTGTAGAATGTTATGTAGTTTGACTATTGTCAATGAAATCGAATGCTTTGTACTGCATGCGTTCCACGTTTTTCGTTTTCAATGTCATTAATTGTTTATAATGACTTTTGCTAAAATTTCAAAATCAAAAGTTTTCAAAACAAATTCTGTGGGACTGAGAAATATTATTTTCTACTTTCTAGTCCATTTATAAAAGCGCTGTACATTAAAATTTTTTTTATTTTTATTTATTTTCTCTTAACGAAAATATCGAATGGTCCAACTATCGATAGTTTTGCAGCTCTACACAACAGTGCCAGGCAGCCGGTAGCCGCGCGAGGTAGCCGCGCAGGTTCATCAAAAGTCCATTAACTAAAAATTTCCAGTTTGTCATAAAAAAACTTACTTACGTTCATTCCCACTGCCGCCTCTACAAATTGTTCTTTAAAGCTCTCTACCTCACGAATATCACCTTCCAGAGCAAGGGGTGTTATATTTATTGGTTCACTAGCTGCTTCGAAACATCGGTATGAATCTGGTCCACTGTCATTCTCATTCTCATTACCGAATGGCTCAAGCTCTGTTTTGAAAGTTGTTTCCTCCAAATAAGACTTCTGCTTCAAAAGAGATCCAAATTTTTCAAAAAAGCTGCCATCAGCATCCTGTAACCTTTAATAAAATGCGTAGGTATGTGTATGTTATTAAGAGTATAGACTTGTTTTCACCTGGTCAAATTCAATGGCATTTATAGCCAATGAAGAGCTTTAGATTTTATAAAGTTATATAACAGAGTTAGGACTTTTAGTTCATTTTCATCAATCTTGTTCAATCACCCAAGTGAACTAGTTCCTTTAGTTTCTTCAATGAAATCATAGTATTAGCTTTCAACATCTCTACTGTATCGAGTTTTAGCCTAATGAAATTTCCATAGTTATACACATGATACAAAAAAGAAGGTAGTTTCATTTAATGACATTCGTTGTTGTTGTTAACCATTTGACTTTTAATAAAATTATGACATTTCATCAAATTCATGCTACCTGATCACTAAAAGATATATATTTTTTTTTAAGCAGAAGATTTTATTTTATGGACTTGAAAATTATGCCGGCTACATAATTTCTAAAATGGGGTTGACGACTAGGATTCAGAACGCATGAAGAAAGTGTATACATACATATTGTCGTTTGAAGTACNTATATATTTTTTTTTAAGCAGAAGATTTTATTTTATGGACTTGAAAATTATGCCGGCTACATAATTTCGAAAATGGGGTTGACGACTAGGTTTCAGAACGCATGAAGAAAGTGTATACATACATATTGTCGTTTGAAGTACAAAACCGCATATCTTCGTTTTTAAAAACCGCGCAACTGACATTTCTTGCAAAAAATTGGATTTGCTCACACAAGCTCTTGGATAAAGCCTTATCCATTCGTCCTGAAATGCGATTTCTTTGTAAAAAAAGAGAACCATTTTTAAATATGAGTGTTTTGCATTATCTTGATACGCGGATTCGCATTTTAAATTAAAAATTTGTCAAAGTTAATGGCGATACGCAAATCACATAGCCTATTTTTTTTAAAATCTGATGAGCAATTTAAAACTAATTTGAACCAAAATTTAAAAAGGTTTTATCTCGGAAGAATATTCTTTAGNATCTTGATACGCGGATTCGCATTTTAAATTAAAAATTTGTCAAAGTTAATGGCGATACGCAAATCACAAAGCCTATTTTTTTTTAAATCTGATGAGCAATTTAAAACTAAATTTGAACCAAAATTTAAAAAGGTTTTATCTCGGAAGAATATTCTTTAGAATTCGATTTTTAAATCGCAATATTGCATTCAAAATAAGAAAACGAAAAAATAACAAATTAATGCGCGCGTGGTTATTATTATAAAATAAAAAGAACCATTACGATGAAGTCTTATTTAATAATTATATTCAACAATTTTATAATGAGCTCGAGGCCATTTTTTAAATGAAAATTTATTGTGGAAAAGCAACAATAATTT